GTTCCCTTTTTGTTCATACAAGAGAAATGTATTCGACGTGACCATCCAATAGGACTTGACTTTGCAACTGACCCAATGTTGACGATATCTCGTGCTCATCGAGCAAACAATTCAAGTCCTCCATAGCTTGAACCTAATTAGGATCCTGACAGGCCTCGGTGTAAGACTGAGGTTCTGAAAAGAATGAATACAGACAAAAGTACGAAGGAGTAGAAAAACATGTATTAGACCAATCCAACTTGTTTGGAGGACGACGCTCACGAGTAAGATATCGGTGTGCAGCAAGAATAGAGTCATCAGAAGTAGGAGTAAAGCAGGAATAGAGACAACCGGTGGTAGGGGGCCTGGCGACGAGAATAGACCAACAATGGAGGCGAAGAAGGAAGCCGAAGAAGGAGAAGGAGCCATGGGTGACGTAGACGGAGAATTAGGAATGACCTCAAGAAGAACAGTGGAGGTAATACTCATCAGACGGGACCTCAAAAGGAAATGGGTCAATGTGAACCAAATCCTCTTTGAAAACGGAGCAGTGAGAGGGAAAGCTGAAAGTAAGGCCAGACGTTCGAGAAAAGGCAACATGACAGGAGACATAAAGGCGACGAGAGACAAAGGTTGTAACAGCAGTAGTATTTCTGAGTAAAGACTGTAACCCAAAAAGACAACACAAGACAAACCGGGCACTAAGGTTTGGTCCTATCTTTACTGGAAGGAGGACAAACAAGCAAATCCAAAGACACCGCAGAAGGGAAATAATTAGGAGGTTAGGAATACAGAGCCTGATAGAGGGATTAATCGGAGAGAAGGGGAGTTCGGCATGCGATTAAGGAGGAAAGCAACGGTAAGAACTGCTCACCCCAGAATGGTACCGAAATAGAGGCAGAGAGAATGAGAGATCGAGCTGTCTCAAGGAGATGACGGTGTTTACGCTTAGCACAACCATTTTGGGCAGGGGTATCAGTACAGGAGGTTTGGTGAATGGTGCCTAATGTAGCCAAATACTTCACAGAATTCAGTTTTAAAGTATTTCTCCACCCAAGTCAGACCAGAGTATTTTAATTGTGGCTTCAAACTATGTAGTGATCATAGACTGAAGGTACGATATATCTGGTAGAAGTCAGATTTTATGAGTCATAAGATAAACTCAGGTATAACAGTGTACAATCATCAACAATGGACACAGTACGCAGAACTCCCTTTAGTGAGAACTGGAGAAGGCCCCAGACATTAATATGTACAAGAGAAAAAGGGGAAGCAGAAATAGAAGTATTGTTATTAAAAGGTAAAGTTGTCATTTTAGGCAGCTTACATTCTCGACACTTAATTAATTTGACTAGAAGAAGACTTTACCTAACAATCTTGACTAAGCTAAACACCGCAAGCGGTCAATAGACAAATGATTAAGCGAGAATTCCATAAATAAAACTGACTCGACTGAGAATTTAACTGAAAAATGGAAGTGCAACGGTAACGGAGGAGGAGGAACAGAGGAAGTAGTGCAGGTCTTTCCACACCACATAGAGAATCCTCCAACTCTACGGCCAGGTTCCAATCTGCTACTTAGACTCTCTGATCTATTCACACACAGACAGAAGAAGAAAAGATGAACATCAAAGCCAAAAACATAAGCTGACTGGATAGAGAAGTAAGCTAACAGAACGTTAGGAACATAAAAACAGAGGGAATAGTAACAGCAGATCATGACAGAGGACAAGACAGTTCTTGCCTAATAGATATGGACAGACATACCGACCCCATTATGTATATCATTAATAAGTAATAGAAAAAAGGAGGTGGGATTATAGTTTTGGAGTATAGGAAAAGGTGAAAGAGTCATATGATAGAGGCCACCAGAATCCAAAAAAGCCAAACAGAAAAAAAAGGAAGGAATATCTAAAGAGGATACCAAGCAAACTTGAATTGAAGAGAGGTCAAGCAGAGGCAGATGAAATGACTAAGAGGTGGACTAGAGATGCTGAAGCTGGCAATCTGGGCACTCAGGAACTAAGTCAAGATCAGAAGCCGGAGCAGATGCAGTATTACAGCACAGGAGTTGAATATTGTACTCGGATCGGACTCAAAACGTGGCTGAGACAAGCTGAGAAGTCTGAGAGTACTTGACTGTGTCCTTCTTCTTTTAGGAAGTAATTACTCGTCCTACCATGCACAACTTACTAGCCAACAACAAAACAAATTCAAAGCGACAATGTCTTTTATAACCTTGGCAAGACGAGGGGCATGAGCAGGGATAATGCCAGGTTTCCTCATTCCATCTTAAGATTATTAGGAGTCCAATTGCCACCCGATCAGAAGACCAGTTATGCAAAGTAGGATCTTCCAGACATAAGCATGACTGATGAAAAGGTAGAATAATCAGCAATTCAGCAACATAAAAACGAGGGGAAGTGTACAAAAATGACCGATGGAAAAAAGACCTTATAGAGCTATGCCCTTTTTGTTTAGTTGGTTGAAGATGAGGGGTTCGAAAGCAAGATGAGAGGAAGCTAAAAGACAGATGAGATAGAGTTTGACTGGCCGTATTTAAGACTGGTTTTCCTCGGAGAGGAAGTTTCACGAAACAATAGCAGTCCACAGAGGGGTTAGGAGCCGATGAAGGAGATTGCTCATGAATAAGCCTCATACTGGGGAAAAAAACGCTGCTGAAGAACTGCACTAAACAACCCTGCTCCCGAAACTCCAACGTAAGTGTCTAGTACCTTGAGGCTAGTGGTTCTATGAGAGTCAATTGATCCAGAGATCTGTCAATCTCAATATAGAAATCCTGAATAGTCTGATCCCGTTGACAAGCACTCTGAATAGCTGTTTCCAACTCATACCGCTTGGCAAAGTTGGACAGCTGATAAAACACATAGTAAATAATCTCACACCTCCTGGCAGTATTGTAGTAGAAAACATTATTCCTAATATGGTCCTCCACAGCAATTATGAAACTAGGTTAGAACTTAGGCATTATACAAATCCAAGTATCACAGGAATGTCAGATATCCTTCCGCATTTGAGTCCAATAGCCGGGAATAGAATCAAAACAATAACCCCATTTTTCTGACTAAGAAGAAAGTTTCATAACACTGGCCAATTAATAATTGTTAACCCGTGAGTTGCACTTGGATGGCTTGGGTTTTAGTGTCCAACATTATGAATGAAACAAGAGTTTATAGAATTAATGGGTTAAAACTATAATATTCAGAAGGTGCTAGGGTCAAACAATAATAATCCTAAAATATGTTTCAAGTTTACTAAACCCCAAACCAGGCTACCACGAGTAGACGAGCAGAGTGAAAGATACTGTGGTCGCGGTAACCCCAAACCAAGCTACCGACCAGATGAGCAAGAGAGAGAGATCAGACGAGGCGAAGCAGAGATGGCTGAGGAGACGGCGACAAGGCAACGAGGCGGAAGCAAAGATGGCTGAGGGAGACGACTATGCTAGGGCTCGCGAGCACGCAGATTGGATCATGATTTTCCAATTGTAATCCGAAAACCAGAGACGGCTGGGAAGATGACGGCGCTAGGGTTACGAACATGGCTCTAATACCATATAAGTTTCCGAAGAACATTGTGTATTCAATTTTATATAGTTACAAAAGTATTCATCAGTTATATAGCCCTAAATCTATGGATTGAACAAGGAAAATGACTGAAAAAGGAAATATGCCTATATGTCTAATTTATGCCTAATTCCTAAAAACACAATCATGCCAATATATACAATATATTCTCACAAACAGTAATCTTGCTAGATAGAAATAAGAGAAGAGAGAGAGAGAGTGTGTGTGAGAGAGAGAGAGAGATGCTCCATCCTCAAAATGGATATGCCAATCACACAAAAACACAATCTCAAATTCTCATAATATTAACTCTCATTATTCTATAAGGGCTACATCTCAAATTTAGAAACTAACAATATTTAGCAACTATTAATATTCTAGACCAACTATGACTTCTAATTCTACTTCAATATCAAAATAGGAAATTTGGACTTTTGACCACTGAGATTATTTTAGACATAACAAGGTCCATATATAATGACCCATTTAATAACTTGACCCAAAATTAAACCCGTGACCCGTGGGCAACCCCTACAACCCATGTCCTACAATTATTAGAATTACCATTGTACCCTTACTTACTAAAACCTACTATAATGACATAAAAACTCAAAATAATTCCAAATTTTTAATTCTTGATGCCCTAAATGTGGTTCGTGTGAAATTCCAGATTTGCTCTTTTTCGTCTTTCCATGATCTTTGTTCTAGGCTATTGTAAAGTCGAGTTTTTAGTGCTTTTAACTCTCCATACTGCTGGACTGTCATTCTTGGTTGGACAAATATTATAATTTTTCTGGATTTACTTTGTGCTTGATTTAAAAATCAAGGCATCTTTTCTTATTTGTTGTGTTTTCACTTTGGATTGATTTTATCATAGTAATTTCTTAACATGAAGTCTAATTATTCCACCATGCATAGCAGCATAGCAAGAAATATTTGACTACTGACCATTTGAGAAATAAGAAGTAATAATGCTTTCATATGTTCACCTGTCATGTGGTTACTTATTACATTATTTGTTAAAAATTAAAGCACTCGTGTAATATGCTTCAAACATTATTATTATTTTTCTCTATTTTGGGTGTAATAGCAACCATCTGATCTTCTGATATGGTAGAGTGAGTTGTCATCAAAAAGCTTAAATGTGTTTCTTCACCACATTGGCTATTGCATGCTCTTTCTTTCTCTTTTTATCTTTTCCTTTCCTTTCTTTCCTTCCATTTTGTAGTAGTGTTGTCGGTGTCTATGCTGTAAGTAACATGTAAAAAGCTGTGCATCCAGTTGTCTCACAATGTCCAAGTCTCAAGGAATACTATTAGTTAATGCTGCACAGCATTTTGAGCACCACAAGAGAAAAAAACGAACCTATTGGAATACAACATACATAAAAAATAAACAAATAAATAAAGTTGTTATATCCATGCATTTTTATAGGCTTTCAGGTATTGGTCCAGGCTGTAGAACAACTAGTTGAAGATGAAGCTTCTGAAAAGATGACCACTGATCAATTGGTATGGTTGTACGCAATCATGTTATCTGCTACGGCGATAAAACTTGCACTGTGGTTTTACTGCCGAAGCTCGGGAAGCACAATTGTCCGTGCTTATGCAAAGGTATATCCCACATTGCTCTTGCTCTCAACCTTTCGGTTCCCCATTTTTTTAGTTGTATAACTTCTTTTTTATGTTGATTGCCAGGATCACTATTTTGATGTGGTAACCAATGTAGTCGGGTTAGTTGCAGCTGTTCTTGGTGATGAGTTCTACTGGTGGATTGACCCTGTCGGTGCTATTGCTCTTGCAATTTATACAATCACAAATTGGTCTGGAACTGTTCTCGAAAATGCAGGTAACTCCTGCTGCCCTCATCTTAATTTTCTTTGGATCTGCTTGTTGCTTAAATTTCCCTATAGATCAAAAAGAGTCACGAATTAAACATCTGAGACATTGCTTGTTTTGGCTCTTGATGCTTTTTTTTTTTAATTTTTATTTTTTTAATAAAGGGCCATTCAGAAATAACTAAATGGAGCTAGAAAGTATGCGATTTTGATTCCCTCTGCATCATCATAGAACTGAACAACAATATGGCAGAATAGATCGAAGAAAACATGGCTAAGAAGCATGGACACGGGACACGGTGATTTAAAAAAAAATGGGGACGTGGACATGGCGGGGACACGTCAATACATTATATATAAGAATTGACTAAAAAGTCATATTAGGAAGATGGATGCACCAATAAGACCTCTTGACTTTTTTATGACTTTCTAGTGCATCAAAACATCTTCACTTTTAATTGTTACCACAATATTTTTTTCTTTCTTTTTAGCGGCATTTTCATAAAAAAATGTCATTAATTGTTAGTTTTTAGCAATAGTTGAAAAATTCGTCACAGGAAAATGTCACTAATTGTTAGTGTTTAGTGACAACTGAAAAATTCGTTACAGAAAACGTCACTAACTGTCATTTTTTAGTGACAAATATAGAAGATCGTCATAGAAAAACGTCACTAATTGTCAATTTTTTGCGACAGATTTAGAAAAGCGTCACTAACAATTGTGGACTTTTTGATCTATACAAAGTGGGACTTAATAGTGCATAGGTCCTTATAACAGGACCAACGAGTAATTACTCCTTTATTTATTTGCTATGTAGTTTATTATAACATTCACAAATAATCAAAATTAATAACATTTAACACTAATTCAATATATATATAACCTCACTCTTAAGTTTACTCTTATCTTTTATGTCTTTTTTATGAATGATCTATTCATTATTTAAATCTAATAAAAAAATAATAAACATTCAACATCCATCAAAAACACGAAAGAATAGGGAAAAAAAACTAATTGGTGTCCTTGGCATGTCCCTGAGGTGTCCCTTGAAAAAGAATTAATTACATAAAGGGACATACCACATGGCGTGTCCCATTTGTGTCCACATCGTGTTCCTGTGTTTGACACGGCTACAACACTTGTTCTGAAGTGTCAGTACTGCATAGTGTCTTGGTCTCTAGAGTTGCTTTTTTGCTAGCAAATAAGCATTAGTGATGTAGAACAAAGTAGGAGAAAAAGAGGGACACTTAAAATAGCCACAACCTAATCATCACAATGGCCTCATTTGGGAAGTGGCTATTTTAGAGGCTTTTCAGCTTTTTGGCTATTTTAGTAGGCTATTTTAGTTTTTGTGTTTGGGAAAATGAGATGAATTTTTAGTTAAGTTGTTGTATTGAAAAGTGTGTTGAAATGATGTTTGAATTTAAAATGACAAATTTGTCCCTAAATTATTAATTTTTAAATTGATGTAAAGGGGTAAAATGGTAATTTAGCCGTTAATGATGACTTTTGAGGCTGTGACAGTGTAGGCACAACCTACATTGTCCGGCGCTGAGCCTATTTTTATTTTTATTTTTATTTTTTTGAAAAACTTTGAACATTTTTGCTTTTTAGCTTATTTCTCATTTCAGGCTATAATAGCCTCAACCCACCATTCCCAAACAGCGCCAATATTTTTTGAGGCAACTTTGAGTAAAACAAAGCGAAACCCATTATTTATAGGCCAAAAAACCCTATTTAAAATAAGAAACTAAACCCTAATTTGATTTGGAAACACATAAAAATAATCTAACTAATAATTACTTAAATAACATTAATAATAGAAATAAAAATCTACCAATTACATTTCTTGGACCAAAAAGTCTTTAGTGCATGCAAAATGGACCTATGAGCTTCACCCTAGGCTTCCAAAGCAGATATTGGGGCTCCATCCAATGAAGGGTGTTAGAGTAGGAAATTATATTATTCCGATTTGTTCCTTGATTGATGTAATGGGTTGTAATGAGTTAGCCCGTAATTCATGCCTTATGGCACTCCTGTAATTATGTTTTATTCTTAATATAACTCACTTATTCTCTATCTCTTTCTCTTCTCCAAAACTATCATGGTATCAAAGCCACAAACCTAACCTATACACCACCACACTGCCACCCCACACCACCTTATAGCCACTACAAAGCCACCCATCTAGTTTCATCAACTCATTGTGTGTGTAGGGGTCCTGGCAACAGCCAGAGGTCACCCAAGTTGAGTCACCTACTGTCGTGGGCCACCCAAGCCTGGTCGACTGCTGCTGAAGGCCTCCCAGGCTTGGTCAACAGTCACCGAAGGCCACCCAGGCCTGGTCGGCTGTTGTTGAAGGCCACCTAGGCCCTGCCGAAAGTCACCCAGGCCTAATTGACTGCTGTCAGAAGCCCACCAAGACCAGTCGGCACCTCTTCTGCTCATCTGACAATATCTGTCTATTTCGGCTCAATCCACTGCTCTTCTGCTCTTTGCCGACTCTGGTTTTGGGTATGGTTTGATTAGTTCATCTGACTGTTCTATACAGCAACAATCTTTATTTATCTGTTTGATTGATGGGTCTCTCTTGTAATTTAAGAGAATATAAAGCTTGAGTGATGATTATGATATCATTTCCTTTTATATTAATCAATCAACTGTACAAAAGGAAGCCTTAAGGCACTAATTAAGGAATCACAATCAATTAATCAATCACAATCTAATCTAAATAAGGAAACAATGAAATATTTGAACACTCTCCCTCAAGCTGGTGCGAAGATATCTCATATGCCCAGCTTGCCTAGAATATCATGAAATGATTTACTCCCAACTTCCTTGATAAGGATGTCTACAAGTTGTTCATCTGACTTCACAAAAGAAGTACATATCATGCCACTAGTAAGTTTCTCCTTGATGAAGTGGCGATCAATCTCAACATGTTTTGTCCTATCATGTTGAACAGGATTGTGAGCTATGTTGATGGCATCCTTATTATCACAACATAGCCGCATAGAGTTTGTCTGGCCCATCCCCAGATCATTTAACAACAGACTGATCCACAAGAGTTCACACACCTTGTGCTATAGCTATAAACTCAACTTCTGCACTTGATCTGGCGACCACATTCTGTTTCTTACTCCAAGTAACAAGATTGCCGCCCATAAAGGTACAATATCTTGATGTAGATCTCCTATCAGTTATTGACCCTACCCAATTAGCATCTATATAGGCTTCCACTCTGAGGTGATCATGTTTGGAAAGTAGAGGCCCTTTCCAGGAGAAGATTTCAAGTACCTCGGAATTTTCATAACAACCTCTAAGTGAATTTGATGAGGAACATGCATAAACTGACCAACCATACTGACAGCAATAGCAATATTAGGACGAGAGTGAGATAAGTAAATGAGCTTACCCACTAGTCGCTGATAACTCCCCTTATCAACAGCTGCTCCTCCTTCATCATCACTAAGTTTCTAATTAGGTTCCAGTGGGGTATCACAGGCCTTACATCCAAGCACCCATGTTTCCTTCAAAAGGTCAAGAACATATTTCCTTTGTGAGATGAAATCCCATCATTGGAGTGAGCAATTTCGATTCCCAAAAAATATTTCAAGTTCTCCCAGTCTTTGATTTCAAATTCACTAGCTAAATATTTCTTCAACGGGGATATTTTCTCACTATCATCGCTTGTAAGCACTATGTCATCCACATAAACAATGAGAGTTGTAGTGTTACCACGTGAGGAATATTTCACAAACAAAGTGTGATCTGCCTGACTCTGTTTGAAATCATTTTTAAGCATAGCCTGAGTGAATCTCTCAAACCAAGCCATTGGAGACTGTTTGAGACCATATAACGACTTCTGAAGCCTGCATACTTTACCCTCTGTCTAATGATTCTCAAAATCAGGAGGAATGTCCATATATACCTCTTATTCTAGATCACCATGTAAGAAAGCATTCTTTACACCTAACTAATGAAGTGGCCAATCTAAATTAGCTGCTAGAGGGAAAAGTATTCTGATGGAATTCATCTTAGCCACTAGTGCATAAGTCTCTTGATAGTCTACTCCATAAGTCTGAGTGAAGCCTTTTGCCACAAGTCGAGCCTTGTAATGCTCAATGGAACCATCTGTTTTGTGCTTCACAGTATACACCTATTTTCATCTCACCAGTCGTTTGCCCTTAAGTAACTCAGTTAATTCCCAAGTGTCATTCTTACAAAGTACTTTCATTTCATCAATCATGGCAAGTTTCTCCTTCATATTGCACCTTTTTGTTTGCTATTCACACTTTTTTCAGAACCCCAGTCTTACAAGGAAGTCTGTCAGGATCCTAATTGGGTTCAAGCTATGGAGGATAAATTGTTTGCATTGCAAAAGATTGTTACTTGGGAGCTAGTTCTTTTGCCTGATGTCAAGAATCTGGTTGGTTGCAAATGAGTCTATAAAGTCAAGATTCACTCTGATGGTTCTCTCAAGTGCTACAAAGCTCGCCTGGTTGCCAAAGGTTTCTCACAGAATTATGGTATTGATTATGAGGAGACCTCTGTCCCTGTTGCCAAGATGACTATTGTCCGTATTTTAATCTCTGTTGTTGCTGTTTGTCATTGGCCTCTCTATCAGATGAATGTTAAGAATGATATTCTTAATGGCCATCTCGTTGAGAAGGTGATGTAAGATGAGTAGGGATTACTTTCCTACAAATAGTGAGCCCAGTTTTAGTATACTGGCAACAGCAAGAATAGACTTATAGACGATCTTTCATGCTTTCTTTAGCAAGCAAATTACTTTTTGCCTTCGTTTCTTCAATATCCTCAATATTAGCAACTTGTTCATCTTGCTCTTTCATAATTTTTTCAAAATATTTTACACTATCAACCTTTTGCTCCTGGATATAAGTCTTCTATAAAACAGCAGCCAACAACCCTTCCATGGAAGCTTTCAATCCATTCAAAGTTGCCGTGATAATAGTATGCACATCACTCTTTATTGTTGCAACATCCTCCT